GTTTTATTAAGTGGTTTTTTACACTGATTTATCTCCAATATCTATTGGGAAAAATTCCAGAATTTCTTGCAAAACAGAAGAGGATGTATCAAATTCTTCCTTTGGAAAGAAAATCTCTAAACAAAGAGCTAATAATATATTCCCAAGTTCAAGAGTAGCTCAGGAAAACAGTCAAATTAGGCATAACCATTTCTCTGGATTGCAACTTCAATTAACTTTGCAGTGGGCATCTACAGAATAATCATTGGGGTTTGACTTTTCCTTCCCCGCTGCAGTGACTGTGAAAACACTGTCTCTGTGTTGGCAGTGGAGGCATTGCTTTCAAAAGAAAGGAGATTTCCTGATGCTGCCAAGTGACTAGAATGAGTTGGAGCTTTCCAAAACTGCCACTTTTCAGAGGATGCAGGATCCTCAGACACACGTGGCCTGAGCAGGTGGGGAAGGTGAGGAGCTGGCTCTGGCGTGCGCCTCTCTCTGCTGTGAGCTGGGGCAGCTGTGGGGCCCTGGATCCCACACCAGGCACACTGGATTTGTTTTCCCTTTGTTTCATAGCTCTGTTTTCCCAGCTGGCCACACACTTTTATTTCTGGCCTTGGGGAAACTGAAGGGAAGAAGATGTGCTGGTGTGATCCTGAGCTTGAGCAGCAGGGACAAGCACAGGGGCTGTATCCAAGGGTAGGAGCTGAAAGCATCCCCATGCTGGACAGCTTTGCTCAGAAGCACAATTCTGATCCAATTATAGAATAATTTAACCTGAAAGGGACTTTTTGAAGGTCTCTAGTCCAACTTCAAGGTGCTCAAGGAAGAATTGACTTCCAGGTTAGATGGGGGTTGTATCCCAGCTGTGTTCTGAGCTCCTGCAAGGATGGAGATCCCACAGTCTCTGTGTCCCACTTGTCTGACCACCTGCACTGAGATTTATCTCTTTTTTTTTCCTACTTCATACACAATTTCCTTAGATCTGTCACTGTCACAATTGCTTCTTGTTTTGCTGCCCAGCTTTTGGAATTCTCCTGTTTCCTCTGGAAGTACCAGCAGGTAGATGCAGGCAGCAAAGACATCCCTGTTCAGAGCTTTTTCTCTGTATTTAATATGCTTCCTCCCACATCACCCTGGTCATCTCCATTGGACTTGCAGCATTCTCACACACTGTTTAAAAATAGAACTGCACAGAAATAGGGATGTTTCCTAGTGCTGCTACAGAAAGGAGAAAGATGAGTTCCAACTGCCCAAAATATAGAATTCTCTTAATATAAAGATATGACTTTATTGAACCTCTGAAAGGAAAATGGCCCTTTGCAAGTTTGCCATGAAAATCTGTATTTTAATGCAACCTTCTGTTCCAAAAAAAAGTGAAAATTAAATTGGCAATGGATTAAAAAAAAAATAATAAAGATGCAAATAGCCAGAAATGCAGGGTTTAGAGTGAAGAATGGAGCCTTAAATCTGCCTTCCTGAACATAAATTGTGTATTCTATTATATAATTTAAAATTATTTGCCATTTTGAAAAGGGCTTCATGGAGCTATAAAAATTTATGTCATCTGACTATCTGGCTCAGATGGTTGTGAACTATCTACAACTGTTTTCCTGTCAAAAATTGCAGTACTTACAGTTCAGTTTAGTTGACTTCAGATTTATTTTTCCCTGATGTAGGTCTACCATCAAAATCAAGGCTGAAGGAAAAACTTTTTATTTAAAAATGTTTGTTCTTTATCACCTTGTTGGCTTTCATCTGGTAACTGGGGAGACATGAATGTGACTTGGAGACCTGGACACTGCCAATAGTTTGGGAGGAAAAAAATCTCTCTTGTGTATGGCCTTTGTACCCGTGATGCCATTGGATGTTTTTGGGTTTTATTGTGGGGTGGGAATTGCTGAAAGCCATCACTTTTGATCATTAAGTACTTCTGGGATTTTTTTACAGCAAGACTCACCATGAATTAATGTATTACCTCAGTCTGCCTGAAACTCAGGTTGGTTTTTAGGGCTAAGCTGACAACCCTTGATTTTTTACCCAATTTCAGACGCACGGTGCTAACATCCAGAGGTTCCCTCAGTGAACCACGAGGGCTCAGGAGCTCTGCAGAGTGTCCAGGAGAGCAGGATCCTGCCTGGGGGCTGGGGAACATCTCCACTCTCAGCAGGCAGCTGTCTCTCTCCAGGAAAAAGTGCTCTGAGCTTTGAAGGGTAAAATGACGAAAGATGAATGCATTTAATTCAAAGGAAAAAATAATTGTGTTTATTCCAAGAAAGGTTTGGGTTTTTTCCTTTTAGCAAGTGTAATGGTGGTAAATAGTCCCAAAGGCATGTGGGTCCCCCCTCAGTGCCCCACCAGTACCAGCTATTAACCATTGTAGCTTCTGTTTCACTCCAACTTAGCCTTCTGGAATATCCAAAAACTACAGCACACCAACCTCTGCTTTAAATAATTCATGTGTTTCTTGATAGACAAAAATCCTTTCCTACCTTCAGTTTATTTTAAACAGGAGTTAAAGAGTGAAAGGAAAGAATGTGCCAAAAGAAATCATTATTTTACTTCATCAAAAAGCAAGAGTGGCATAGAAAAGAATTTGGCTTTGCTGAATGTTTAAATTATAATTTTAAGGACTGTCAGTAGTAGATTGAACTGGAATTGATGATTGACCACAAAATTCAGTATGTGTACTTTGATGTTAGCTATTGGGAAAAAAATCTGTGATGGGCCCATGTTTCAATTTAAAATTGTGGAGATGGTTCTTAAATAAATGCAGAATCCATGAATAAATTGTGAATTATTTTTCTGGTACAGTGGTGTGCTTAGAAGACTGTAGCTGAAGGAATTAGTCACAAAGTTTTACCTTGAGGAGACTGAGGGATGCAGTGAAAAGGAAAACTGATGACTTCAAGCCAGGATCTGTGTAAAATAATAACAAGAATATTAGCAAAGCAGTAGAACAGTTAATTCTGAAGGTGGAGCCCAGGCTTGAGTATTTCTGTAATCAAATTCCCACATGATTTTTCAAACTGAATATGTAAAATGCAAGAGAGAGTGACTCTACTCACCATTTCAATATACAGACCTGAGCAGTGATAAAAATAGACACTTGTAATTCAGAAGCCTTATCTCAGAGTTGTTTTTTGTGGTGTGTCTTTGTTTGGGGGTTGTTGGTTTGTTTTCATGATCTAGAGTTAAATCATGTCCTGTCTATGATCCTTTGGCTGCCCAGTGTCTCCTTCAGTGTGGAAAGATGATTTGGAAAAATTGTCATCACAGCTTTGAATTAAAAGCTGTGCTTTGAAAAAAATATTCTGAAGTTATTTAGAAACTTTCTAGAGACCTTTCTTTTTGTTTTTGAGACCAGCTAAGTTGGGGAAAAAAAATGGTCCAGTGACCACTTGTTCATTCATCTGCATGTGCAGCTGCAAAATTATTTTCTGTGCTGTGCAAAACTTCTTCCTAAATATGAGGTTTAGAGACCCTCTGGGAGTAATTAACTACAATGCAGAAGCAAATCTGGGTTCATTGTATAAACTGCTCATTTAAGAAATATTTTTGTGCACAAAGCCCATTAACAAGGTTCCAAAACCTTCATGAATGTTAAAAACTTAATTATAGGATTCTGAGCACTTCCTATTTGAAAGAAATCTAATGTAATCTCATGAATTACATCTAGCTTTTGATACCTGGATTGCTGTGTCAGACGTGTGCCACAGTGCATTCAGCAGCTAAAATCTGGCTTTTATTTTGTTATTTGTTTAACAGTGATAGAACAGCTCTTTTCCTGTGGGCTGCACAGAAAGTTGAGGATGTGCTCATCCTTGAATGAAGCTGCCTGCTGTTGATTTTACTCTGCTTCCTGGTCCCCTTCCATACCCCTGCTTGACTAAGTGCTTTCCTCCTGTGCTCCCAGCCCTGTGCTGCATGTGCCTGTCAGGAGCTTCACCCCAGTGCAAGGAAGTGCAAAGCAAAGCTGCTGCTTCTCATCAGCTGTACAGGACTGGCAGTCAGAATTACTGAGTTGATTTAACCAGGACTGGGAGTACATGCCCTTAGCTTCAGTGGCTGCAGCCTGAAGTCAGGAGTACATTTAATTTACCAAATTAACCCAATGCACGAGGCTGAAGGACCTCAGAAGCAGCAGCATAATGCTCTCTGGCTGGTGTTACATGGGCAGTCAGGGGTGGTAATCAGCCTTGCCTTCACTGTCAGCTCCTTTTCGAGGCAGCACAAATCATGTGAGATGCTGTGAGGAAATCTGACTCCACTGTGTGTGGGATGAGGCTGTTGGGACAGTAGCCCTGAGCAGCAGGGTTAGGCTTGCTGGCCTGGCTGTGTGCTCATGATCAGCAGGAAACAGTGGCACAGAAACAGATGCAAAGCAGAAATGGGTGCTCAGCTTTTATGAAAGTTTGTCCTTTCTTTTCTCTTAACTCTTTGTTGTCTGTTCCAGAAGGATCATACAATGTTGCCTAATAATGTTGCATCTTATCCACCATTCATTTCCCAACAGAAACTGAACTACAGTATTTGTTATTGTAGGAGAGTTAATCATTAAGATCCAAAGGTTTTTCCAACACCTTCGTTTTACCTCAGAATATGTAAAATATATCCAAACCCTTCCATTTAAGGTGATGGATTACCCTGTGCTTGGCTGTGCTATCTGGATTGGTTGGAATTTTGGGCAATTACTATTTTACACAGCAGCAGAGTATCTGTGAAGTGGATATCAATTGAAACATATTTTGCTCTTCAGACTTGCTTTTGCAGGTTTCACAAAACATTTAATTAGTGATAATCAGCTTTTAACCAGCCAGCCAGAGCACACTGATGTGATTCCCTGCCTCTCTCCCCCATGATTGTAGGCATAGTCTGTACCCTTCAGATAAATAGCTTGCAGTCTGGGGAATGTCCTAGCCAGCAGGAAGGGGAAGAATACAGATGTCTGTTGCATGGGAATAAAGAAGGTGTTGTGTTTACTGTGGTTTCAGTGAAGAATATCCCTTTCCTTTACTTTTCAGAATGGTGAACTTGGAAACCAGCTGGAGATTGCAAAGTCTCCTTTGCCTTGAGGCTGGTGGTCAATGGTCATCCTCTACCACACCCATGGAAAGCAGAAGAGCTCCACTCTAACTTCTGTAAGGTCTCCTTCACTATGGAAGATCAAATGATTTTCTGGCTCAGGTTTTGTGATGTTCGGCATCTGCCTTGGACCTGGAGTTTGGAAAAGGGATCGTCCCTGAGGCACGGCTAAGAGACAGAGCAACCAGCCCCAGACAATGAGCACTTTAAGTAGCACTGGAATATTGCTCAGCTTAACAACAGTGTCTGTTACACTGGATTTTAGTTTGCATGGTGGTCTGATGGCTTGGTCCTTAAGCAGCAATTTGACTCTGAACCAGAGTTTGCCTACATCTGATCCTCTCAACACCTCTGAGAAGGGCGAAGTCTCTCGGATGTCCGTGAGGGAGAAGAATTGGCCGGCCCTCCTGATCCTGGTTGTCATCCTGCTGACCATTGGGGGGAACATATTGGTAATTATGGCTGTGTCCTTGGAGAAGAAGTTGCAGAATGCCACAAACTTCTTCCTGATGTCGCTGGCAGTAGCAGACATGCTGGTGGGTATCCTGGTCATGCCCGTGTCGCTCATTGCAGTCCTGTACGGTAAGTGCCTTCCCTCCTAGTTTGAATATTTGCTTTTGCAGGGGGTCCCCGAGGCTGCAGCAGCCTGCTGTGTCTGATTTTCCCTGTGCTGGTGGCTTGGGGAGTGTCAGTGTGCCCTTGGTCGTGGCTCAGTGCTGAGGCTCGTGCTCTGCAGGGTGTTCACAGTGCCAGGAGTGACCTGTGGATAATGTCACACTGGGGGTTCTTACTGCTGGGGCCACCAGGACAGTCTGAGACAGCGAGCCAGCTTTTACCTTGGGTTGGATTGCCCCAAAACTGAGCTAGGACACAAAAGCTCAGAGAAAAGCTGAGGAGAGTTCTCATTGTTCATGAGCTACCCAGGTGTAAGCCGTGTCAGGATCTGTCCTTGAGCTCCCACTGCTAGGATCAGCGGGATTTGAGCAAAAATGCAGATCAGAAAGGAGGTTTGCACGAGTAGATCTGCCATCCAGATAAAAGCCTTTACTCCTGGCATTTGTACCTCAGCTTGCCTTGTGCCCTTCAGGGGGTCATTGTGCCTCTCCGTGCCTCAGTTTCCCTGTCTCTAACCTGAGAGTGTGCTGTTTTAAAGCAGCCAGAGGCCTGCCTGTACAGGTGTGAGCGTTTATCTCTCCCCACGTCAGGGTCAGTGTGTTTGCAATGCAATGGGGCCTCGCTCCTGCACTCGGGTGTGAGCACTTCAAAGAAGTAAAATATCAAACACATCTAACTTTCATCTGGCTCAGACTCCAGATCCCTTTGTTCAGTGTGGTGCTAGGAGTCTCCATCCCTGGTATTTCAAAGGAGTATTTTGTTCTCCTCTGTATCTCTTACCATTATGTTTGTATACTCTTGTATCAATTTTATAATCTGTGTATTTCATAGATAAAACTTTAAAATTTTGAAGCCTGTTTTTAGATTTTCTTAGAAAGGTATTGCAATATTGATATTTCTTGGAAACAAATAATGCTGTTTACTTACAAATTTGATTAGAAATTGGTTTACTGTCCTATAAAGTAAAATGTAGGGATATTTATCTGACTTCTTCACTTGCCTAAATGAGTAAGTCTGGCAGAGATTAATTTCTAAAACACATTGATCAAGCATACATCATTCCAAAGCTTATATAACTTGTCTACAGTGAATTAAATCAATGTGTGATTTAGGTACAGGCCTAGCTATGGGGATCTTGTGCACAAAGATTTTTTATTTTGAACTGTCAGAATAGTTCCATCTCTAAATCTTGTGTGTATTACAACATGTGTATTTTATTTTTAGCATTTTACTCCAGCTCCCTGGAGCTTGAAAGGGAGCATATAAATACTGAATTATGTGACAGACCTGCGCTTGCATAAATTCTGTGTTAGCCAGTGACTCTAAAAAGGTGAATTTATGGAAGTGGTCTTCCTACATCCATACTTTCAAGGTCTTTGGAAACTAATAGAAATGGATTTTCTGTTCTGCCTAGAAAATGATTACTTAAGGTAGTTTAAAGGTGTAAAGCATGCCACCCTTTTAGTAGCAAGGAAATATCACTGATTTCAAGAGGCATTGTAATTATCCTCTTTTTTTTTTGCCAGAGAACCAGCATTGGCTGTTGATAGCCCAAATATTTCTCCACAGACAAACTGTGCAATGTAGATTTTTTTTGGCAAAAATCATAATTTCATGGAAGATTTGTGGAAATACTGTGAGGAATGAGGAGGCTGCTGGGGCAGTGCTGGGTGCTGGACCAAAGCATGTTGCCTCCAGGCTTTGTGAGGAGAGGAGGAGGAGGAAAAGTTCCATTTGGGGAAAAACAAGCCTCAGAGGAACTTGTGGATTGATCTCAGTAGGACCCCAGTGAAATAATTTTTTTAATACTATTTAAGCTACAAAATGTGGAAGTAAGGAGGGGGAAAATGTTCTTATATCACCAGAATTCTTGTGAGAATAACGTGGGTGCACGGCCATGGACTGAGCAGGGTGAGGGTTACTGCTTGGAAACACCACTGTGAATGTTCAGTCACTTTTACTCTGTATGTTTTACCTTTTTCATTCCATACAGTCTACACAATCTTACTCTGGGCTGTTTCAAAGGCTGCCACGTGCTGTACTGAGAAGTGTATGCAGCACATCTCTTCCAGATTTGTAGAAGTCACTTTTAATTTATGTAATCAGAAAGGAACCTTAAAAAAAAAAACATATAACTAATATAGGAGTGAAGAAATTGCTTTCAAGTTTCCACATCAGCTCTCTCAGCCCCAAAGATAAATTCTAGTTGACAGAGTAACTAATTTCAGAGTAGGCTCATTTCCTTACTTTTGGCTAATAAGGTAAATGAAGTAGATTTCACTTCAAGCATAACCAGAAAATTGAATAGACACCCTCCACAAATACTTCTGGTTTTTGGTGGTTTTCTTAATTAAAAGAAGGGAAAATCAAGTTTCAAATTAATTCAAGAATCTTATTATAAAGGAAAGGACAGCAGGATGCAGCATGATGGATTTTTCACCAATTAATCAGGGCTTGGATATATTTATCAATTAGTCTTAAGTGTCTTACAGTAATCGATGGGTTGCATTTGACAACTGAGAACATTTTCCCTGGCATGCAGCTCCTAAAGAAGTAAGCAAATTAGTCTGCTAATTAATAAGCATGTATTGGGGAGGGTAAATGAGAAATGTACACAGCGTTTCATCTCAATGAAGAAATGCCTGGTTAATTAAAAATACTGGTATTTTATAAGACTATTGATAAGGCATCAGGTATCTCACACATGATGGAGCTTCAGAGGGCAGGTGGAGGTTGTGTCCTCACCTCTGAGCACCCAGGGACAAGCAGCAGTGGGTTTACATCCTGTCATGTGTTTCTGAGCAGGAAAGAGAGGGCTGGTGGAGGAGCACAAGAGAATCTCCTCAGCTGATCTGAGCTGCAGAGGATATTGAGCTTTCTGGGTCTTGCAGAAGGTTCACAGCTGCCAACACAAGTTTCCAGCGTGTGGGCAAGGAGTGGCCAGCAGACCCCTGAGTACCCCCAGTGCAGGCTCTCCCTTCCCTTTGTGGCCGAGGCAGCTTCCAGGGGGATGGTGTTGGATGCAGCATTTGTCAGCCCCAGCTGGCAGAGCAGATTTACACCCACAGCATTGTTATTATTGATAATTACCATCATTATGGTGTGGTGACAGAGATGTGCTGAGCACTTGGGCACACTTTGATGCTGGTTTCCCTGCAGAGGGGGAGCAGTGCAGCTCAGCTCTTTGGTGTGACATTCAGGTATCTGGAAATGATCAGGCTTTTTAAACACCATATCAAGCCATGGGCTTAAATGCATCTTGACTACACCGAGTTCCAGCTGACAGTTGCATTGCTTTCAGAAATTATTATTTATTCCTGTTAGCTTTAGATCTGTAATGTTTCAGTTTGTGCTAAGTAACCCCTACATTTTATTCTTCTGCTGGGGTGTGAGTGAATGGAAACTCCTACACTGCTTGCACTATCTGTGTCATAAATTCAGAGAGGGGATTATTTTTTTTCTCTCCAATGACACCTTGTACCTGGGGTGTGTGCATTGAAATTTATATCCAACAGCAAATGTGAGTTTATCTTTGCTATCAGTAGCATCCATAGGCTGCTGCACTCTGTGCTCACCCAGCAGCATTTATTCTCTTTTCAAGTCCTAAGCTTTCCTGTCCCTCAGCTAACCTAAATAATTCTGTGAAATCTGAAATCCTACTACATCATTATTTACCCTCTTTCCAGATTATTAGATTCATAGGAAACTTTAGCAGAGATATTGAGTGTCCTGCTACTGAATTTTCTCCACATGAGCAACAGCCTGTTTACCTGATGTGACAAATGGGATTAAGTTCTGGTGTATCTGTGTTGCTGTTGGGGAAGAAAGCTCTGTATGATGTGCCCTGAATCCATAGAATAGCTTCTTTTTTGCTACCCAAGGTTTAAATTGTGCTTAGAGTGAGAGGAGGGGGGAATACTAAATGATACTCTCTGTATCTCATTGAATATGGGTCCCTGGTTGTAAAATATCTTGAGGCAGCTAAATGTTAACTTGCAGGATTTTTCAGAGCCTCTGAAAATGTGGCACCCTGTTGCTGTTCATTTGGGGGTCCCCAGGGACCCCCTAAGCTGAGTGTTGGCTGGCAGCAGCAGGCAGGCAAGGAGACTCCACACGGCTTCTGAGGGTGCTGATTGATGAGGGTTTTTTGGGGGTCCCACCCCCGGGAGCAGCATGGTTACTGAGGGAGAAGGGGAAAGGGGGAGAGCCTAGGGGAGAGAAGGGCCAAGAGAGAGCCTGGTCTCCCCTGCACAGCTTAACAGGGAGATTCAAGGTGGGCACAGAATAAACTTGGGCCAGTGGGATTGCAGATACATGATCCTTCAGGGGAGGATCACAGCTTGGAATAAACCGTACATTTTGGAGGGGTGAGACAGAGCATAGCATTTAACTAGAATGCAACACCACAGCACCCTGTGATGATTCTCTGCTGGAAACAGCACTAGGAACCTGCACAGCTCTGGCTTGCACTGCTGGAAAACTGATGGCTTCTGGTCAAGGGAGAGCCAAAGGCTGAAGGGCTGAAATCAGCACAAGAGCTCAGCACTGGAGAGGGTGATGATACCTGTCAAGTGGAGGGAGTGCCACTCCACACCCTTTCTCAGCAGTGATTTAATCTATTAAACCTATATTTTCATCACCCTCTTCAAAAACGTTTGGCTCAGAGCTTTTAATTGTCACAGTGAAAGCTGGATTTGCTCCACACACATAAATTTCCTCTTAATTTCATTTTTGATTTTGTCTGAGATTATCTACACTTTATATCTGGCTTTTTATCTAGTTTATTTAATTTTTTTGGGGTTTTTTTTTATACTTTTAATGTTGGACAATAAAGACTGGAAACCAGATGAGTGAGGAAAGTGTCATTATCTGAGGAGTACAAAGCACTTTGAAGGAAGGACCACAGAGTTTCATGGTACTTTAAAGTCATCTTCTCACTAGTCTTATTAAAGCAGAATTGTTTTCAA